CCAGCTTAATTTGTTGTACGGATATAGTATAATACATATAACAGGGGCAACCGGCAGGCTCAGTAGGTGGAGCGTGCGACTCTTGATCTCAGGGTTGTGAGTTTGAGCCCCACGTTGGGTGTAGAGATGACTTAAAAAAATAAAATCCTGAAGAAAAATACGTATAACATACAAAATACGTGTTGACCAACCGTTTATGTTATTGGTGAGGCTTCTCGTCGACAGTAGGCTTTTAGTAGTTAAGTGTTGGGGAGTTAAATGTTATATGTGGATTTTTGACTTTGTGTGAGGTCAACGCCTCAAACCCTTGGGTTGTTCAAGGGTCAACAACTGTATGTAGCATCCCATGTTATGTAGTTCATGGTATCTCATTGGAGGGATCATTCATTAGGGCGAAGCTTTGCTATCTTCCTCCTCCCTTGTAAGTGTCTCCGGGGAAGGGTCACACGTACATGTCCCAGTCCTCAATGTGATTAAATGAATCAGAGGCCTTCCTCCTCCATGGGATACAGACCGGGGGAACACTGGAGAGGTAGAGAGAGGTAGGAGAAGAAAAAGGAACATATAAAGAAATGGGATGGGGCGGCAAAGCCACGCCGGGTCACAATTAGGCCTATCGCCCGCCACCCAGGGCCAGTCATTAAATTTGTGTAGGTTGGGGCGCCTGGGTGGCTCAGTCAGTTAACTGTCTGCCTTCAGTTCAGGTCATGATCCCGGGGTCTTGGGATCAAGCCTGGCGGTGAGCCTCCTGCTCAGTAGGGAGTCTGCTTCTCCCTCTCCCTCTGCTTCCCTCCCCCCTCCCCCCGCTCATGCTCTCTCTCTTTCTCTATCTCAGATAAATAAAATCTTAAAAAAATAAACAAATCTGTGTATGTTATTATTGTGGAAACTATAACAAAGTGCTCGAACCAAAGATACTCCGAGTTAAAAGGGAGAGGAAATGAACATTTACTGAAGATCTACTTTTCCTGAAACTAGACTAAGTGTTCTCAATGGCTGACAACCCAGTGAGGTGGCTGTCACTAGTCCCATTTTCATGGATAACAAAACTGAGGCCCTGATTAAATCCCAGAGCAACGTCTTCGCCAAATCTCTGCTCTCTCCTCGTTAATAAAAAGCGACTTGAGATTGCATTCCTCTTTACTATGCCCCTAAACCAGCTTCCTGAAGGTACCTGGTCAGGCTGTCTTATAAGGATGTAAACTGAGGCACAAAGAAGTTAAGTGGCTGTCACGGGAGCTGAGTGGAGCCTGCTGCCTATGGTTGCCAAGCCTTGGCTTCCCTAGCTTTCAAGGCCCTGCCTGCATGAACAGATTCTTCCATTCAGCGAGAAGTGAGAATTCCGCTGTTAGAGAAATAGTGGGGATCCCTCCTCGGGGGATGTGTGGTCACTGGTTTGCATGCGTTCACATAGCACCCCGAATGTGTATACAGCAGCCTGGCATTATCCTCCTCTTTTCATTCCTTGAGCCTCAAGTTCTGTAAGGCTAGACAAAGAAAACTCAGTGTTTTGTGGGGCGGGCTGTTGACAGTGATGTATCCAACACATCCAACCTGTTTATAATATCAGAGCTGAAATTTCAGAACGGCGCGTTCATTAAGTACTGCTGTTCACTCATTTCGGAGAGACGCATCAAAACAGAAAACGAACTGACTTGATAGTTTGCATGCCTTCAATCTCTGTGACAAAAATCGCCTATTATTGAAAGTATGAACGTTCTTGAAAAAAATGAGAGACAGCTGCAGAAACAGGGCGGAAGAGAATGCTCAGGATAAGGGGGGGAAATGCACATTTCCTTAGTGTTTTATGCTCTCTATAAAGACTGCCAGCATTTCTTCAGCTGGGAATTTTCACTGTTTCTGTTCTAATTCGAACAGGGGACCCTGCTGTCACCCGTGTAACACAGGCCCAGAACAAGTCCAGCTGCTGATTGCCTGGTGGGCTCTAACAACTAGATGGAAGGAATCAAGGACTAGCCTCTGGTTACCCCTCCCCCACCACTGACCCCCCGCGAGGAGGCACTGAGTGTTTGGCAGCACTTTGGCCCTTGAGGACGACCAGAAATCACGTGACTTAGAAGTCAGGAGCAGAACCGTGCCCTTTGAATCACAGCATCAACTTGGCCTTCTTACAAACAGGGAGCTGAGTCCCGGAGCCAGCAAGTGGCTTCCTCGCTGTGAGTGGCAGGGGCGAGACAAGAACCCAGGTCTCTGGACTCCTGGGCCTGTGTTCTGCCAACTCACCGGGCTGCCCTCTCTGACTCCAGCAAGCAAACGGATGTCTGGAAGTGCACTGCTTAGTATGCAAGCCAGGCTGACCTTTATGCTCCCAGAATCCTCAACCTTTTGTGGAAACCGTGGAAGGACAGTTCCGGAAAAATAATGAAAAGCAAAGCACACTGTGGAGACAACCGGGAGCCTGGCTCAGGCTGCAGAGTCCTCCTCACCTTCCAAGTACTGAATCCCAAATATATGCACACATGTAGAAACTCAGGCTGGTTTAAGAAATACTGAGAGGCCTAACCAAAGACCCGATAACCCAGCCTGTTCTCTTTCTCTTTGCCTGCCCCCCACCCTCCCCCCTGCCCCCGAGCTCCAAAATAGGGCTGATTCTAGAGTATTGGGATCTTTGTTATTCAGTTCCTGAGAGGAACCGGCTTCTGGGAGGTGGGCCCAGCCCAGGACTGTAAGAGGCCTTGGAGCTTCCTGCCAAGGCCCAGGCCTGGCTTCAGCAGAACAAGGCTCTGGGGACACACAGGAAGAATTCCCTCTTCTTAGCAGGGAGCCTCTTCGCCCCAGGAGGGGTCCTCAGAGACTTGTGGGGCCCCCACCCCCGGTCCCCTCAAAGACACTTCCTTCCACTTCCAGGAGCCCTGATAAATGAAGAGAGATTCATTTCTTTTTCTTAGAGCATGAGGTGGGTGGAGGAAAGGCTTGTAAAGGCAAATATCCTCCGGCGAGCTATTGTGTGGATTCATTACTAGATCCCAAACCTGGGCTTTATGGCACCATCCTGTCCCTCCTTTATGCTCTGCAATCACCAATCGGACTGCCTCTTTCCCTGAGAGTCAGAGTGTTAAGTGTGTGCGTGTCTGTGTGCACACACCCGCGTGTGTGTGTTCCTTTTCATGACCTGAAAGAGTAAATCCCAATTTTCCCCTGTACTGTTTGCCTTCCCTCCCCACATCTCTACCTGGGGCACTCGCCCCGGTTTCCAATCCCAGAAACTCCAAGTAGTTGCTGGGGGCATGAATGTGTGACCCACCCATTCCAGAACTGTTTTCCCAGGGACCCACCGAATGCCGTTGTAAGAGCGTGAGGGCAGAGAGTCATCATGTGGCACCGTGAGGAGAGCCACCTGCTGGCCCGCAGAGGCCGACTGCTGTGGGTGGCCAACGAGAAATGGGGGGGACAGCCGGCAGGCTGAGCTCCCCGGCCACCCCCAGGGTTTCTCACTCCTCTGACTCACACCCTCACCCATCCTCAGGGGGAGCAGGTAGGTCCCACAAGCCTGCCGGGGCGGCGGTGGGGAGGGGGAAGCCGGGGAGCTCTTAGGGAAGCCAAGATGTCTACCTTCCAAGTTGCTGCGTCTGGCTCCTTACATAAGTTTATGGGTTAGAATGTCCCCCTGGAGCCCTGGGACAGGTGGAATGCCTGAAATGCAGGATTCCCCCAAACCCTTCCTGCCTGGAGCCAGACAAAGGTCCTCCAGTGTCCCCGGTAGGTTTGGGGGCACACGGAAGTCCAGCCAGGACTGGAGAAGTATGGGGGGAGGTAAGGGCAGGGGGCACAGCTGTGAGATTGCCCAAGAAGGACCCCTTCCTTAGTTGACCTGTGACTGATTCAGTGGGCACATCCGAGCTGAGGGCAGCAGGTAAACACAGCGCGTAAAACGGCCCAAGGGTCATCCTCACGGCGACCCAGATGGTTAACAAGGAGGAATGAGTCCTATTTTACAGAAGAGGACACTGAGGCTCAGGAGGGGCTAGTGATTATCTGAGGGCTGCCCAGCAAGGATGTGATAGATTCTCAGACCGGTGCTTGCTGCTTCACTGCACAGAGGGATCAAATGTTCTGAGGGAGATACTGGGCGAGCCTGTCCCTGAGGGACCTGTCCCCACCCCCTACTTGTCTCACTGTGCCCCTCTCCCTAGCCCCGACAGCGCTGCTCTGAAACATTGCGCCACCCGTGCCCCCCTCTGCAGCCGTGGGGCTCCATGGCGGAAACATCAGTTCCTGATAGACAGCAAGCCCCACCTGATCAATCAGATAGGAACAGTCTGAGCCCTGAGCTCCCGGGGACCTTGTCCTGAAGGGACATGCCCTCTTTCCTTGCTCATCCTTACATCTGTGGTCCCTACAGCCAAAAAGTGCCTTTTAACACCAGGGCTTGAGGATGGTCTGCACCTATTTATGAGAGGAGGTGGTGTCAGTGTCAGGGAATGGGTTGGATGGTGCCTGGTTTTCTGGGTCTAAACCCCGGGGCTCTGCTGTGTGACCCCGGGCAAACGTCTTTCCCTCTCTGGACCTCGGTTTCCTCATTTACCACATCATCTTGGATTCGATGGCCCCACTCTGAGGTAGTATTTAGTCGTGTATCTTTCCTTCACTAAACCGTATAGGAGTGAAGCCTTCCTGTAGGCACGGGGCTGGATGCCGGGGATTCAGCAAGAAGAGGAGTAAGGGTGAGTCTCCGCTCTGCAAAAGCTCAGATTCCCGTTCTGCAACGTTTTTTTTTTTTTTTGCTCATGCTTTTCCCTCATGCTGACTTACCTTTTCAGAAAATGCCCCCGCTTCCGCTGGAGAATGGAAATTGGCAAAGACAGAGGGAAAAGGTCCAATTTGCGCCTTTGCTATTTTAGGGGAGGTTGAAATTGCCAGCCAAAGTGGAGTGATGCGCTCACTGGAGTGACCTCAAGTCCTCCCCAAGACAGGCGGAAACCCAGGTCCTCTGCTTGTGAAGTGGCTCGAGCTCTTAGGCGCGAGGCGTTATTACATAAATTCAAGCTCGCTGCCGATCCTTAGTACCCTGAGTTGCCTGAAGGGGGGAATGGCACTGCCTGCGTGTGCAGCCCGGGCGCTCGGGCCGCCGCTGCAACCGGAGCGAGGAGCGCCCGCCCGCACCACCTGTCCCCGCCGGCATTCCAGAGTAGAGGCCGAATTGGCAGCGAGCCGGCCCGGAGCAGTCGCCGCCTCAGTCCGCGCGGGCCCTCCTAGGGGTGTGTCTCGCGGCTTCAACTCCCAGCCGCTCCCGGACGAGCCCCTAAAGGCGTCTTCCTCCCTGGCGGGAGCCGCGCGCACCCCTCTCCTCGCGCTGCTGCCCCGAGGCCGCCGCAGGCGGATGCACGACCTCAGGAGACGCTGGGACCTGGGCTCCCTCTGCCGGGCCCTGCTCACTCGGGGCCTGGCCGCCCTGGGCCACTCGCTGAAGCACGTGCTCGGTGCGATCTTCTCCAAGATTTTCGGCCCCCTAGCCAGGTACGTTTCAGGCGAAAGCGGGACTCGCGCTCTCGGGCCGGGGCGCGCAGGAGCCGTGCGGGGAGGCAAGGCAGCCGTGCGGGGAAGGAAAGGGCGCAAAGTTCCAGCTGGCCGGTGGCGGCCGGCCTCGGGGGCTCCGGAGGGGCGCGGCGCGCCTTTGGCCACGCTGCGGCTCCCTCCCCGCCGTTCCGCGGGCGCCGGCAGCGCCGCGTCTCCGCTCGCTAGTCGGGCTGCCGGCGGACTCGTCCCCCCGGGGGAACTCCGGACGCCCGGCTCGGAGCTCACTCGAGGCGGCCTCCAAGGTGGGCAACGGGGCGCGGGCAAGGGCAGGGCTTCGGGGCGCACGGGGAGGGAGCCCGCGAGTCGCGCGGGCGGGGAGGCGGCGGCGCGCGCGCCCAGGAGACTGGGGGCACAGGCGCCGGGGAGAGTCCGGTGGGCGAAGCGGGACGGGGATGGGAGCCGCCGAGAGTGGAGCGGGACGCGCGGAGGCTCGGACCCGGGGGGAGGGTGTGAGTTGGGGAGTGGGGGCGACCGGGCCAGGCGGCGTCCCGTGGGGACCAGAGCCCGCGACGCGGCTCCGGAGAGCTCCGGCGGAGGGGGGGGACGGGGGGAGAGGGCAGGCGGCCAGCGGGAAGGAGTCGGGGGGAGGGGGGTGTGCGGCAGGAGCCACAGCGCTGAGCCTGCCGGGAAGGAAGGAAGCGGGGAAGGGCGCCGCCGCCGCCGCCGCCGTGGAGTACTCGGTGTGGAGGGGAGGGGGAGAGGGGGCGCAGCGGCGGCGCCGGGGGGAGGGGGCGGTGCGGGCGCAAGGCGAGCGCGGGCTGAACTGCGGGATTGACGTAACGAGCTTGGGTTTCCCCCAGCGTCGGGAACATGGATGAGAAATCCAACAAGCTGCTGCTGGCTTTGGTGATGCTCTTCCTATTTGCCGTGATCGTCCTCCAGTACGTGTGCCCCGGCACAGAATGTCAGCTCCTCCGCCTGCAGGCGTTCAGCTCCCCGATGCCGGACCCGTACCGCTCGGAGGATGAGAGCTCCGCCAGGTTCGTGCCCCGTTACAATTTCAGCCGCCGCGACCTCCTGCGCAAGGTAGACTTCGACATCAAGGGCGATGACCTGATCGTGTTCCTGCACATTCAGAAGACCGGAGGCACCACTTTCGGCCGCCACCTGGTGCGCAACATCCAGCTGGAGCAGCCGTGCGAGTGCCGCGTGGGTCAGAAGAAATGCACTTGCCACCGGCCGGGTAAGCGGGAGACCTGGCTCTTCTCCAGGTTCTCCACGGGCTGGAGCTGCGGGCTGCACGCCGACTGGACCGAGCTCACCAGCTGCGTGCCTGCCGTGGTGGACGGCAAGCGCGACGCCAGACTGAGACCGTCCAGGTGAGTGCGCCGCGCCCGCGGCCGAGCGGGGCCCTGGAGCGCGGGAGCGGACCTGGGCCTGGGCGGGCGGAGGGCGGGGAGGCGCGGCCGGCCGCTGCCGGCACCCCAGTGCGCACCTCTGGGCCCGGCGGGTGCGCCCGGACTGGGAGGGCGCCAGACTCCTTGGCGCGCACGCTCACGGCGCCGTGGCGGCCGCAGGAAGCCTGTCCGCTGCGGCCCGGGACGGCTCGTCTGTCTGTCGGCGGGTTGGCCTGCTCGGTGGCTGGGAGTGCGTGCGGGGGGCGGGAGGGGGGGCGGCCGGGAGGCCCCGAACGAGCGCCCCCCCTCGGCCGCCGCCGGGACAGGGTACCGCACGCGGACTCCGCGCTGGAGCGCCGGCAAGAACCGGTCTCTGTGTGTGAGGTCCCCGAGTCCCTCTTGTCTCTCTCTGCACCCCGGTTCCGAAGCCTCCTTTCTGCCCTCTCTTCCTTTTCCCGCTCCCGCATTCTCCCCCCACCTCCCTTTCTCACTTCGTCTATCTGCTTTCTCTCTTTCTCTTGCTCCGGTACATGTCGGTCCCTGGCCGCTCGCTCTTGCCTTCTCCCTCTCTTCTCACTTTGCTTCTCGTTCTTTCTCTTTTACCCTTTCTGATTTTTCTCTTTTTCCTTGACTTTTGCCACTCTCTTCTCTGTCCTCTGGTTCTGCTCTCCCTGGGCGAGTGGGTGTTCCTCTGCCGCTGTTTGGGGACACCCGGAGAGAGCTGGTGGGACCCAGCTTACACCCCCCACTCCTGGCAGCACTCGGGCCATCCGCAGCGCTTTGCGAGTGCGAGGGGGCACCTTGCATGCCGAAGGGCGAGCTGGGACGCTGCCCCGACCCCGTGTGGGGTTCGCTCTTGAGAAACCTCTCCAGATGTACATGTACAAATCCTGAGCCCCAGCGTGGGGGACCAGCAGCCCACGCGCTGGGAACCCCCGGGGCTGATGCGGAAAATGGTGATTTATGAAGAGCCTGTAGCCAGTTGCTTTTGAAGCTAGGGCATTTTCCTTCATGCAGCCGCAATGCCCGGTTGCTGGAGGTCACGGAGTGCCATAAAAGGGGGAGGGGGAGAAGGGCGTGTTGGGCTGGAGTTGCTCCAGCCAGGGCCCCGATTATGCCACTGTCCCTAAAACACATCAGGGCTGGGCCTGCGAGTCCAGGGGATGGACTGGATGAGTCTAATTGCCAGGGGGCGTCTGGAAGGGTCTTTGAGCAGGCAAGGACACGGCTGTGAGCTGTGCTCACTGCCTCTCCATCAGGCGACCCCAGGGGCCCTGTTTTCAGCAGCTGCCTACCTGGACCTGCTCCCAACTCCTACCTCCGCTGCCTCAACCGCTCCAATCCCTCCCCCCGCACCCCGCTGCAGGTTACTCTGTGCCTTGGACAAGGAGATGCTTTGCAGAGGACTCCTGGAATGCAAAAGCCAGTGCAGTTTCTTCTTTCCAGACGCAAGCAAATGGAGCCCTCTGACTCTCTGCTCACCCCTGCTCACGCTCCTTTCCCTCACTTTACGGCGGCCTTTCTGGAATGCTGGGATTCTGGCAGAATCTGTTGAATGTTCAGTGCCTTTACAGCCCTAATAGATTTTCTTCTTTCCATCCTAAGAGAACCTTGGCTCCAGGAAGGTTGTCGCCTCAGTCCATTGTAAGAATTGTGTAAGTCATTGTCACCTTAAGATACTGGGGTTTATTTAAGAAGATCCCAAACAATTCGGCAATATTGAAAATAATCTCACTTGCTGCTGGAGCTTGTAGGTGTAGAGCTCCACAGGACATATGCGCCTTTGAAAATCCTTCTGGACATGTAGATTGGGGTGTGACGCCGTCCCTAAAGACACCTTACAAATGTGGTCCCGATTATGTATTTGGTGGCCACTATCCTCTGGCACATTCCCTCAGAAAATTTCCATTAGATAACCAGTATCCTCAAGGGGAGGGTTCACCCTTTTGGATGGTCCCAAATCGAAGCGACATTATCTGACATGAAATGAGATTTTACTTAGTCGTAAAAGGGTGATACCACAGTGCCATCTAGTCTCATCGAAGAAGAACCACTTTTTAAAGAGTCAGAGTTACCGGATCTTACACCGTTTGCACAAATGAAATAAAATTTGCCAGAGAAACACATTGCCACCCCAAGGGCATCTTTTTATTTCATTAATTTCCACCCACCTCCAGAAATCTTCATCTCGAAGAATAGCGGTAGCTTGAGGGTTCCAGAATTTCCCAGGGTGTTGATACATCCCCGCCTTCAGGACCAGTTCAGTGAGTGCTGATAATCTAGAGGAGTGAAGGTATGCATGAAGTGTGTGTGTGTGAGTGTGTGTGTGGTGAAAATCGAGACACGGGGGCAGCAGTGCCACGTGGGGGTGAGGAGCCCGCCTCGGGAGATGAGAGTCAGCCGTGCGGAGTTCCCGCGCGGAGTGGCCTTCTGGGCCAGCTGGTGGTCTCTGTGCTCCGCTGAACCAAGGGGAACAGTGGGCCGCGCCTGTTTGGCCTGGGAGTCCTGACACCTGGGCCTTCGCTGCAGGCCGGCCACGAACCAGCTGTGTGACCTTGGACTGGAGCCTGTCCAGGCCTTGTATGTATGGAGTGTGCATCCCAGTGTCTGCTGAGCTTTCACATCCACTTATCTCTGGTATTTCGCCATAAACTTGCAGTATCTTTGGGGAGAGGGTGTTGTGGGCAAAAGTATCCCCATTTATCAGATGAGAGTGAAGGCCAAAGGGGTTGCCGGACTTTCTCAAGGTCGTCGAGCTCTGGGGTGGCCCGGCAGGAATCTTGCTTCAGTTCTGTCTGCTCCCTTGAGTGTGCCTTGATGAACGGGGTCCTGACCCAAGCACAGTGAGGCATTTCGTGGTAGTGATGCTCACAGAGGGAGTCCTGGATAAACGTGAACTGATAGTGGTACTACCCACATCGTCCCCGGTTTCAGTGATGCACTACCCATGTGAATTTGGACGCAGGATCGGACCGGGTTGCCACACCCCTGGGGGGGAGAAGAGGTTTCTAGCTCCCTGAGGCTCTCTGCTCCCTGGGGGTGGGTGGGTGAGTGGGGTCTCGTGGCTGGGTGGCTGCCATGTTGGAAATCACCACAAAGCTGCACAGGATAGGAGCACGCTTGGGGGCCTGGTGGATAAGCATCAGTAGGAGAGCCCAGCAGCAACAAGGGCCACCTTCTGACTCACAGCCATCTATCCACATGACAGGGGGTGTGAGAGGCCATCGTGGCTGCAAGCCAAGACCCTGAATCCTGCTCCCAGTGCTACTTTGGCCATGCTTCCCTGCCTCCGGGGATGGCAGCGGGCTCGGGTGATATATAACTGCTGAATAGAAATGACTGTGAGCACGTTGCCTGGTGAGGACAAAGACAGAGAATGCTGGGCTGGCAAAAGGTTCAAGTTGTTTATTTTTGAGAATAATATTTCTTAAAAAAAAAAAGAAGAAGAAGACAGAAACTAGAAATTGCATTTCATGCATCTGTCTACCAATATGTTGTTTGGGGTCAGAGAAGGGTCCTGCTCATTCTAGAATTTCTAAGACCATTTTTTGAAAATGTATCAAAACATTCTTGCTTACCAGCTGTTAAAACTCCCAAATTCTGCAGGCTTTTCTCAGGCCAAATTCCCTCTGTTTGTAGCCAACTCCAGAGCACCACTCTATCTGTGGGAGAAATTCCGAATTGGGCACAGGGAACGTGCGCTGGCCTCATTTTTCTGTGCCAGGTACTGTGTTGGCTGGCACACACAGGGGGCATAGGCCGGGTCCTGTGGCTCTACAGGTCAGAGGCTCTGAGCATGATATTCCTGTTGCATCCTAGACTCTGAGTGTCTCTGAATTTTCCAGCAGCCATACGGAAGAGTAATTAATTGTCATCTAAAATCCAGTAGGCTATCCCTGACGGGAAAGGACTAAAAGGCATTTATAGGGAGAAAAGCTCTCTTTTTCTTTCCCTTTCTTCCAAAAAGGTGGCTTTATTCTGAACGAGCTCCATCTTCGCAGGAACCCCATGGTGCCTGTGCCCATCACACCTCCCGTGCCCACACTCACACTCTTTCCCGTTTGGGATTTGGCGGTGAGGCGGGCTGATAGGTCTGGCTTGCAGCGATGCCACCCTGTGGCCCTTCGGGCTGTGGGCCACCTGGCTCTCACGGGGGGCAGCTTCATCGCCCAGCGTGCATTTCTTCAGCTGCCTTTGAGAGGAGCTGCTATACTCTCCCACCTGTTTCGCAGGAGAAGGGGAGAAACTCGCTGTCACATCTGTCGAACCTGGGCAGGATTTGTTAGCATTGCCGCATGGATGGCAGACGTGTTGTCAGAGTCCTGACAAAACTCTCAGTTCTCGGGTGGCTGCCTGGGTGGCTCAGTGGGTTAAGTGTCTGCCTTTGGCTCAGGTCATGATCTCAGGGTCCTGGGATGGAGCCCCGCCCTTCTCCCTCTGCCCCTCCCAACCCCCCCCTCCACCGCACGAACTCTCTCTCTCAAATAAATAAATAAAATAAAATTTAAAAACCTCTCAGTTCTCGGGGTAGTATAAAAGGCTCTTCAGACTTAGCATTTCTTAATAGTAATTTTAGAGAAGTGGTGTTATGCAGCAAGAAGAATGTCAGAGCTTGTCTTTTATAGATGTCTGTCGTCAACTTCAGTAGTATGAAGTGACATTAAAGATTAGTCATCTTTTCCATCGTTATTCATTAAACAAAATTTTGTGAAACTGCCCATTATCTTCCAGGGAAGGCATGTCATCCTTGCTCTCGCAGAGTTTACGGCAGAACAAAATAATTTGGTATCTTAGACATTTAATAAAGGAGATGAATTTTATTTGGAAATGATTTGAATATCAAGCATGTCTTTAAAATGTCACACCTTTACAGGAATATAGTGAAACACAGAGAAGAGTCCATCTGTTTATGGGGAAGTTGATGTCTAATCAGGAAACTCTGAAGAATTGTGATCTCTGCACAGTGCTAGAAGTTGGGGGCG